CATTAACTGACCACAAGTGTATATGATGACTTTAGAAACGATAGTGGAAAGCTGAATATGTGAGCCTTTTAACCAACAAAACTCTCCGCCAAATTTTATTATCGGTAATATCAAGTGCCCTCAAAAGGAGTTTAAGACTTTAAATTATAACATACACTGATAGTGTACACCCATACTCTATCTCTCTTTCACTCCCACTCTACTGAGAAAAAACAAGCCATTAATGCACCAGCGACATATACAATTTTATTTATTCGGAAAACTATCGTTTGATAAGAAAATGAAAGCTGTATTTGCCAAGAAAACTGGAGCACATTTTATACGCTAGTATAGGACAATAAGAGCCAACCGTGTGCCCGTAAAATATCACTTTTTCACCTTTATTTATATTCCGTGTAATCTTATCATGAAAGCAGGTATATTTGCTAACGGTCTGCTAGACAGATATAGAGATAATGAAATAAATCTAAACAGAATGAAATGTGGAAAATGAAAAATTGGTTTGCGAGAAATTAGATGAAATAGATACTTTGGTTAGAAAGGTGGCATAAAGGGATGGATGTGCCACAAAAATTATATGCATATGCCCAAAAAAACAACTTGTGATATGCAAACACTTGCGATAAATCTCTACCTCATGTAAATGCATAACTAAAAGTAGATAACTCAAAAACTGCTCTGATTATGTGCAGTGCATATTGCCGCCAACAAACCACCTTTTATAATGTGGAATCACACTACGTATCTATACTAAACATAAACCACAGTAGACATTGACATCGATGGCACTAAATCAGTTGCCCAATGCGAAAAGCGCATAAAGCAAACACTATTTAATTATTTGCTTTTGTATTAAGTATTTATGTACTATCAGACATTTATTTATTTGCATTGGATTTTAGCTCTTCTTCTTCTTTGAAACACTAACACTACGCTACGATGCATAAATGCATTCAATAAAGTGCGTGTTTCCGTCTATTTTTTACTGCTTTTCGATACCAAACTGCTTTTCACATTGCGCCGTAAATTTATATTTGTATTTATGTTAGTTGTGCTTTATTGACTTTTAGAAATTAACGCATCTACCATATAAATATATGTATGTATGGATGATTGTTGATATCTGCTGCATAGTGTGTTCGCTTTAAATAATGGTCATTTAATTGTTTGCTTTGATTTATAGCAAATGCATTTGAGAGCGTTAATTGAGTGGATAAACTAACGTACATACATACATACATATGTATGTATGTATTTACATTTGGACATAAACATAAGATTATGTTCAATTAAGTGTTGAGCCGATGCAGCACGTAACGGACTAAATAATTGTGTGTGGAGAAAAGGTATACAACAAACAAACAAAGGCAGATTCTAAGCAATTTACAAAATTTTACTCAAGCAAATAGAAATTTTACGGTAATTGGTGCTATAAAAGTGAACCAATTAGCTAATCCGCTAATTTGAGAAATGGTGGAAGAGTCATGGTTCATCACACCCTAAAACATGTATTTCAATAGCGATATGATGGTTACTTTTACGAGTTCTTTTCAACAAAAAAAATCATATTCCAGGAAATTTTATTCTAAAACAAGTAGAGAAATCTAAGAGAATTTTCTGTATGAACCTTAAAATTGAAATGGAAAATTTCCCATATTTTCTATTTTCATAACTATTCGCTCTTAGACTAACAGAAATGACATACTATTTTTTGGACTTTTCGATTTATTTTCTTGTTGTGCCCTTTGAATTGAGCTCACCACCAGACTAGTGTCCCATAAGTTACAATCGTTTTGATGACTATGATGTATATGCGTGTCTCGTGATATACTATGGCGGCAGAAGGCTCTTTTCCGAAAGCAGTTTTCTTTTCCAATTAATTTTGGAATAGTTATTGGATATTTTTCTTCGGAGGTTCGATGTTTTTTCCTCTAATTTCGACAGACAAGGCAGAGAAAAGACTATCCAGCTCTCTTTGCGTGGAGCTAACCCCAAGCCAGTTCAGTTGGCCTACTGAGATATTTATGTCGCCACTCTTCCTTGAATATCTTAACTGCTTAGCTCGTACCACAAAAAAGGTGTGTTTGGCTATCGTTTAGAAGAAGTCTCCTCTAAGTTCACGTACAGGAATTCTGGTAACTATCGAAAGAGAAAAGCCTATCTAAGACAATTGTCAATTCTGGCAACTTTTTATCTTGAAAGCTATTTTCTGTCTTTCGAATGATTAATTGAAAAATCGGCTAACAACGCAAGGTCTTAGCGTTTTTCTCTTTGTCTTTTAGCAATAAGGTTTCTAGGAATTAAATGAAATTAAAAAGAAATTAAACTAAAATATAACAAAATAAATTAAAAATAGATCTTTAAAAAAAATCGTAAAAATTAATTAATTTTTAAAGCAATAAGTTCTAAATTTAAAATAAAATTAAATTAAAAAGAAAGACAATACATTTGTAAAAAGAAAAAAATAAATAAAACAAATTCTAAAAATTAGATGGAGCCAATAAATTTGTTTCTTTTTAAAATACTATAATCTAAAAATTAAAAGAATTAAATTTAATAAGAAAAAAACTTAATTAAAAAAAAATAAATAAAGTAAGTTCTGTAATCCTTAATTAATCTTCTTAATTAATCTTCTTTTTAAAACAATAAAATCCAAAAATTTAAAATAAAAGAAGAAAACAATTTACTGAAAAAAAGAGGTAAAAGTTTCTAGAATTTAAATTAAATTAGAAAAAATATGTTTAAAACAATAAAATCGAAAAGTTTATTTAAAAGAAGAATACAAATAGAAATAAAAAATATAATAATTCTGTAAAAATTAAAAAATATACATACACATTTATAACTTTTTAAAATAATATGATCCAAAAATTAAATGAAATTAAATTTAAAATAAGAAAAATGTAATTTAAAAAGAGAAAAAGGTTTCTAAAAATTAAATCAAATCAATATTTTCTTTTCAAAACAATAAAAATTAGTTTTGAAAAATAGTAATAATAAAAATAATAATAATATATACGTACATATTTTTCTTTTTGAAACAATAAAATCAAAAATTAAAAGTTGGCTATGAAGCAGTTAAGATATTCATTACACTTTTCGGCATCACATTGAAGAAGCTCCACGGGAGTAAGGTACCTTGTCTTAAACTCAAGTTTGGTTACAATGACGTGGAGTGGTGCTTCCCAATTTTGACGGCAGCCTATCAAGATCTAATCACACTTGGTTCATGAAGAGCTTCAGTCTTTCACAAAATTTCATCCAGGTCTTTATAAACGATTTTAAAAACGTTCAGCGGGTACTTCTTCCTTCTGAATCACACAAAGTACACTGAACTTCAAACGCTCTGGCATTTACCTACAAAGCATAATAAATTAATTGTGACTACTAATCACTCGTATTATAGCGTTTGAAGCTAAACAAAAAAATCAGATTCATTAATTCACAATTTGCCACATCTCATTTGGTTTCTTAATATATAAAATCGAAAATAAAAACTAAAAAATACACGTGCGTAATCTGTGCTGGTGGCAGCAACAACATAAGCTTACTTCTTAGTTTTCTTAACTTCAGTGATTTTCTCATAGCAACAATAAGAAAAACATCAATAAAAAGTTTTATGGCATATTAGTGGTTTGATGAGTTACAAAAGAAGTTAAAGAGAAACGAACGACGGTGCTGTACCAGCAAAATAAAATAAAAGTGGAATGACTCACAAAAACTCTACTCCATTTCAATCGCATAACAACAAATGTTGCATGAAATAAAAGATTAATGAAAAAACTTCGACTTACATGTGTGTAAAGTCAATACACAGAACTGTAGTAATAAAAAATGTGATGAAGATCAAAACTTGAAGCAAAAAAAAAACAAAGGGCTCCACATTACAACTGGCCCGTTCAACATTCAGCGCATGGCTCAGCATCCATTTTTTATTTATATACTTATATTTCTTCTTTTTTTTTTTTGGCTGTAAAGCAATCCGCTCTGTAGCGCGCGCCATTTGACTCATCGCCCAACATAAGCTGTATTGTGTGTGGCGGCTCATAAAGTGTTAAATGTTGGCTGTAAAGGTTGAAATGTGCGTTGGGTGCGCAGCAACCAAATAGACAGCGGAAAAATGAATTTAAACATTTTTTTTTTCGATTATTTTTTCTAGCTCTGATATGCTATTGGCTGTATTACTGGCTCAGCAGCGGTGTTTTAACCTTTTTTTTAATCGCATTTTGAGGCCTCATTTTGTAGCATCACTTTTTGGAATTATGTATGTACGCAACTATGTTCGCTTTTTAAGGTTATTTCGTGCGTTTTATTGAATACTTATTGGCATTTTTTTTAAATTTGGTATTGGTAATTTACAAAGGTTTTAAGTAGCCTTTGGTCACTTGGCTTCAAGTTACAATATTTACCCAACACTTTTAACGCAACGTAGCATTTGTTTTTTTTTTTTTTCAACTCAAAAATAAATTTCTTACTTTTTTGAAGTGTGGGATTTTTTCTTTGAATTCAACTGATGCATACGGAATCGCTAAGTAGCTGATATGCGTTTCGTTGGAGGTAAAATGTAAAAGCTTTTATTCCTCTCGTCTTTTCGCTTTTCACCTTTATCATTGTAAATATTTCTTGTTGTTTTTGTTTTTTTTTTGTTGTTGTTGATATACGTAAGTAGTTAGTTGAGTGTCGTCTTACCAATTTGCTGTTGATTGCCGAGTGATTGATACGCTGCTGCTGGCGGGCATAAATCAGTTAAGCGTGGCTGCCAGTAACAAAAAAGGCTAAATGCAGTTATGTATGTTACGCCTAAAAATTTTGGTTGACGGTTTTTTTATGTTTGTTCATCTTTTTTCCATGTTTTACATCACAATATCAAATAAAATTTGTATTTACATGCATTCTCCGCATTCCAACGTAGTTTTCACATAAATAATGCTGTCTAGGAATGTGCGCATGCGTAAGTGAGTCATCTCTTTGGTATGCGCTCGCTTCAATTTCCAGTAAAGCATCAACTAGTATGCAATTACGATTTCCTTTCGCCGTTATTGCTAGTGCTAAATCCTTGCTGCATTAGCATCAGCAAGCCCTTGAGCTAGCTTGCAATTAAATTCGAAGTCAACGAGGCAACACTTCAATTTACTTGGTAGCCGCAGGCGTTAAAAAACTTGGGCATTGAAACTTTGTTAGTTTCTCACGATTTGATTTTTGTTGCACTCTCTTGGCTACATAACTTTGGTATGACTTTGAGGCTTGGTATTTTAGTTGGTCCGGCAAGTTATGAGCACAAAAAATGCAAAAAAGTGCAAGTTTTTAATTTTTTTTTTTTTTAGGTATCAGTATATTTCTCCTATAAATGCAGTTTTTCTAACTATACCAACTCCCTATAAACCCTATATATGAAAGAAAAAATGCCGCATGGTTATATTTTCAGTAGCTACTTTGTCTTCTTCTCGTTCGTCGACCATACCAGACCAGCCTCTTTTGTTGCCTTTTTTACTGGAAAATTCTGCAATGACGGTCCTGGTGTTGAAACCAACGATGCTGTCTTTCGATGTCTTTTTCGATTCAGAATGGCCTACGCGGAGAGGTCTTTCCCATTTTACACGGAGCTAATAGTGTTGAGTCCGGCCAGGTTAAATACGATCCAGCCGGGGAGAGGTCTCAGATTCGGGCACGCAAAAGTACTTGAAAGTCTACCGGATAATCTACGACAGATTGATTACTCCACTTTTTTACTCTGTTTAGACAACAAATTCTCAATAAGAATGCCAGAGAGGAATGAATAGGAAGGGGCTAAACCTCAGTTTTCGCTTATCGGTCCATTGTAGCGTTTTTCAAGCGGAGCTAAACGCCATAATGGGAGAGGCAGCTCGTTAGCTCATAACCTCCGCCCCACCAGGACGGCCTACCGCTGTCTATTTTAACAGCCAGGCTGCTATCAAATCTCTCCAATCTAACGGAACAACGTACAAGGTAACCATTGAATGCAGGAAGACTCTCAACCTACTGGCATCAAACTGCCCCTTGACTGTTGTATGGGTCCCTGGATACAGGGACATTCCTGGCAACTGCTGGCCGACGGGCTGGCAAGTAGGGGGACGAAAATATCTGAAGTCAACTCTGCTCAGAAAGAGGGCATGCCTCTAACCTCCTGCAAATACAGATTAAAGGCTCAACTCATCGAGGAGGTAAAAAGTACAAGTGAATAATAATAGCCCTCACTCGGCTGGACCGCTCCTATCTCAGATTAGTAGTCGGGAACACAGGGAAAGTGGTTAGGATACCCCACTAATGATTTCTGTCGCAGTTTCAGAGATGAAGAAAAGGTGGATACCATCAAATACTACCTCTGGCATTGTTCCGCCCAGGCAAACATGCGCAATCAATTCTTCAAAAAGTACTTTCTAGTTTGTTTAGCCGACTTGAACATCCTCGACTTTTTGTGCTATATAAAATGCACTCGCTGGTTTAATTACTAAGGAAGGAAAGGAAACAAATAGCTTCGGCCAGTGACATCACAGCGGTCTTTTCCAGCCAACGTGTGCTGCGTGCTATGCGCGGGCCATCCACTCTAACCTAACCTTACCTAACCTAATAGTTGTGGTCAACGTCACTCAAAATAGCCGGACTAGTTTTGCAGGGATCCCAAGTTTAGAAACGTCATCATAGAGTTAACGTCTTTCCGTGCTACGAAAAGAGGCTTTCAGGGAAATATGTACTTTCTGGGATTAGACGCCTGGTGAACTTCTGTCCAATCATGGATTTTACAAGCCACACTGATAGGGCCCAATAAGATGATTTGTGAAAGGTTGCAGGCTTACACGCAGTATCGTCGATTGGACCTTATTTGCATTGTTGTAAAATCCCTCGTCGTCTTCCTTCTAGTGGTTTGGCAAATCACATTGATATTCTATTCTTCGGACATGTATTTATCAGACCAAATTGCGCTCAAGTAAAGAGGCGTGGACTTCGTCCATATATATTGGCTCTTCCAGATTTCCATCCTCGTCTTTGCAGAATCTATTGCCGGTCTTAAAATTGTTTAACTTCTACCTTATTTTTAAATACTTCTTTACTCGTGCTGTGAGAGGGGTTTCTTTGAAAGTGTACAGCAGTTTCTGATTCCTGAGAATTGGGTGATTGGATCACGCGTATTTTTTATAGACTCTTATATACTTTCGCTGTTCCAGCCTCCGGTGATAGCCCTTTATGTGTAAATATAATAAAAGGTCATCCGAGCTACATAGAACTCCATTACCTGAGAAAGTCCAAATTAAACGTCATCTCGACACTTGACTATAGTATAAGGGCCAAGTCGCGCTACCCTTGAAAATGTCATTCAATCCACAAGAACTTTGCTTCAGTTCAATAGTGGGTTTTTAATAAGTAGTTAAGCTGATTTCTTTTACAAAAAAGTACCCCAGGGTAGCTTATGTTCAACAGTTTAGTTTTTTTTTTGATAAGTTGTAGCTTAAAAACGTTGCCTCACACGTAATAAGGCAATCTCCTTTTTCATAAAATTTCAGCCACTGTGTAGCATTTAGCAACTCATCGCCTTACAGATTACGGTTCATCAGAAGCAAAATAGTTTATCCTTTAAAGCAAAGTATGAACAATGGCGCAGTAAAATGAAATTTTTCATTTTATACAGCTTCGTGTTTCAGAAAACCTGTTGTTCAACCTTCTCTGTTTTAATTCTGATAATCATTATTCGTAAAAAACCTGAAGGCAATTGCAAAAGAGAAACAAATCAAATTTAAAAATCTTCTTCGTACATTAAGATCCATTTGTGAGATACGAAAATTAACCCCCAAATTTGTGACGTGATCAATGATCACTGATTTAAATTGTATGCGGCAGTGAGAATCGAAGATGCTGTAGAGGTAAATGACGTGAGGGAATAAGTAAACAAAAGAAACTAACAAAGGAAAACAACAAAATATTAAGTAGTGCTCAGACAAGGAGTTTTATGAAAGATGAGCAAAAATTAAAATGGTGTCAAAACGAATGTACAGCAACAAAGCAACTTTAAAAAGAAAAAAATAAAATAAAGAAAAAAAGTAGCGAATCGTTTTACTGTAATATATTGAGACAAATTAAATATGTACTTATCCATATATATTAGCTTGACGCTATTCTTCTTCTTTTTTTGTAATATCACAATAAAATCATATTTGAATTATATTTAAATACCTAGCTACTTCTTCAAAGACTTTCATGTAAATTAAGAGCAAAAGTCCTCAAAAAAAAATTTAATCTCAACTTCATAATCACATTTTCGATTCCCGCCAATCGGCGATCAAAATGAGTTCGCCAGTGATCGTGCTGCAAAAGATCACAGCCGGCTGAATTCAACTGAGATTCTCTACCACCACAGCGTGCTTCAAATGAATTGAAACCTTTAAAACGCTCTTCTACCAGAAAATGCTCACATTTAACATTTCAGTTGACACCCTCTACTCGAACAAGTTTGATGAGGGCCTCACCTGACTACCTGCCGCTAAACCACATAGTCGGTGGTTCTTTGCTCGCCACCAACAGGCCGTGACGAATTGTGCAAACAAATGTCTGATAGTCAAATGCTCTTTCTCTCCGCTGTGCACAGCACACTTGTGTTAGTTCAGGTAAGAAATACAAGTAGAGTATGTATTTGATTGGTGCTCCATTCCATGGCCAGCGCTTTGTTTACCCACATACACTGTAGCTCACATGCAAACATAAGGTAACCATTTATGTATGTATTTGGTTTGGTTGTTCGCCTAGCGAATTGGTGTGCCACCACCAGTGTTGCCGTTGGAAATTTTCAGAAAGTCGCATAGAAGTGGTCATTAACGAAAAAAAGTGTAACCATATTATTTTTGATTTTCTTTACTAGTAAAAGAATAAATCTGTTGAATTTAAAAAGAAAATATCGGGACAAGCTTTGCACAAAAAAGGGTTGCAAACATACATATAAAAAGTTTAAAAGTTTAAAGTGATGCATTTTGTCGTACTTACAAAGGGAAATATTTTTTATTGGCATGGTTCTATTAACATTTCCAAAAAAACTCTGAGATTGATAATTTTGGAAATGGGTCAAAAAATTCAAGTTTTCAAAAAGTCGGGTCAAAGGGTATTGGCGCTTAAAAAGGGTCAAATGGCTCCTTTAGTCGCACAACGACAACACTGGCCACCACCACCACCAAAACAACAACTAAATCAGTTGCCAGCAAACCAACTCTCTTTCTCTGCCACTCTTTGTTTGTGCCAGCTCAAGTTACGTTCGTCTGTTACCAATTACCTGTTCTTTTTTACTTATTTGCTTCGCTTACTATTCCTTACTATACAGGCAGTCAGGTTTTTCTTGTTTGTTTACCTGAGTGTCACTCAGTGTGTCCGTCAGGCTGTCAGTTAGTTTAGTCACTTACTTTGATATGTGTGGGTTGACGTTTTTTTTAATGCAAATGCAAGTAAATGAGTTTGTTTGCTCGCAAGAATATTGGAGAGCCTCTGCCTTTACCTGTACGCTCTCTCGTTAGCTCGTTTTCCAAGCCGCTTGCGCACACAAGTTTCAGTTTTAGGCCATAGTTTCGAACGTTTGGACGCGTTTTTGTCGCTTAGCGCGTTTGGCGGCTATACAGTTTTAAGTTTAGAGACATATGTACAAACTTTCATTTCATCTATCGAACTGAATTTCCGCGCGAATCGAATATTTATTTTAGCGCAAAGGAAGCGGTGAACAGATAGTGGCAATATTTTATGTGAGATTTGAAGGATATCAGTGCAAGTCAAAGAACACATGAAAATTCTTATTGTGCTTATGTAACATAGCGGCATAAAGTTTTACAATTTAAGCGAGTGACAAAATTACGAAAAAGCGCGGAATAACGAAAAAATATGCAAAAAATAATAAAGACTGACTGTTGAAAAGAGTAGAGTTTGTTAAGAACAAAGAAAAAAAAATTACGTGTCTTATAGTGTGTCCAATTGTGACTTTTGGCTTTCATGCAAATTTAGTCATATTTTATTGCTTAAAAACTGCAAATGAATAGTTAGTAGCCAACAAGTTTACCTTACCGTTTTAAGCGTGAAATTTGTAAGTACAAATAACAAGCACAAAAGAATTTTCAGCTGCTATGGAAAGTGTTGAAGCTGGATAGCAGAGTGCCACGGGGAGGATGTAAATACTTGTTCAGAAAATATGTACAAAATTAAAAAAATATATATAAGAATATATTTTTTAAACTCATCATACACAAATAAAAATAAAAATTTAAATAAATTAAATTAATATAAAATTAAATGAATAAAAACTAAATTAAAATTAAACCCACTTAATTTACACGAAATAAAAAATATATAAAAATTACACTTATTTAGTTAAAATAAAATTACAAAAATAAAAATGTAAGTTAAGTTAAATAAAATAAATTAAAATTTAATAACAAAATTAAGTAAAAATAAATTTAACTAACCAAAACTACATTAAATAAATTTGAAAAACATGTAAGAAAATAAAAATACATTAAAACACATTTATTTATAACAAATTTAGTTAAGTAAATTTAAATAAAACTGTAAATTAATCAAACTATCTAAAATTAAATAAATTCAAATAAAAAAATATTTAACTACAAATTAAATTAAACTCCTTTGAAAAAAAAAATTAAGTTAAATTTTAATTAAAAAAAGAAAGAAAATACATTATTTAATCTAAATTAAATTTAATAAAAAAATTAAATTAAATCAATGGGAACCAAATTGAAAAATATAACAAAAATTAGAAGAATGTGAATTAAATTTGAATAAAAATAAATAAATTAAATACATGATTTAGTCTAAATTAAATTAAATAAAAAAATTAAATTAAATCAATGGGAACTAAATTGAAAAGTGTAATAACAAAAAAATAATAGAAAATTAATAAAATATATAACACAAAGTTTAAGTCATAAAGAAAACTGATCAACTTCAATCGCATAAAATAAGATTAGTATAGAACAGCCTGGGAATAGTACAGTAAAATTAAAAATAATCTTGATATTTTTAGTATGGTGATCAATTCTCTTTAAATTCTGTGAGGTGGGTTTTAGGAACCTTAAACTCGATTTTTGGGTGGCGGGGGGTTCGCGGATTCTCCACCACCGTCTTGAAAACAGGTGCTGTGAAAGTTTTCGCTCACTCAGTGAAACAGCTATTTGAGGGCCTCAAGAAAGCTATGTTTAAACGTTAGTACGCACATTAGGTAGTCAAAGTCTGAGAACATTTCATTCCATCTTATTACAATTTTGTTTTCAGCGGCTCAAAATTTTTACAATTTGGTCAAAAATTAAATTAATAAACTTGTATTTTTATTTACGAATCGACTTAAGACATAATTCTCTTTGTCGTAGTAATTTTTTATGGAAGCCACTACTAGTTTATTTCCTACCTTAACTGGTCTTTTTGAACCAACTTTTTGAAAAACGGACAGCTACAGGGTTAAGATATTCCACAAGTATAGTATGTTCTATAAAGAATTTTACTAGGTGTCACCGAAAACCAAAATTTTCTGCGGCTAGCATTTAAAAAAAGTCCAACCTTTGACCCTTCGTAAAAGTTTGTTATTGGTTTGGAAAATTTCCACCAATGGTTTTATTACTAAGTAGTAACTCCAACATTTGGGCATAGTTTGATTGTAGTGCTAAAATAGCTATTTTACTGAGCTAGTAAAAGCCATACGATGGTAGCTATTTCACAACCCCAGGGCACACGCAAACCGTGCTTTGTATTCGTAGTTGCTAGCCTTAAATTATTAAAAAGAATTACCCAGTTTACACAACTTTTGACCTTAATTATATTTTGGTTTATTTTTTTTTATTAATATGGACCATGTAATTAATTTCGACTTTAAATTATCCCATTGAAAATAGGTAGAAAGACACAACTAATTCATTCGCGTGCCTAAAAAAACTTTTGAGCGGTTCATTTAAGATGTAAGTTTACGAGGAATTGAAATTGAAAGCAATAAATCCAAAATGGAGTTAGTGGTACATATGTTAAGTCTGGAGTAAGAGGCACGTGTTCATATTCCTACTTATGTAACAATTCCAATGCAGGCGATGAATGGCAAGCCAGCAAAATGTTTCTCGTCTTCATAAGGTTGTGAGACGTAACTAGAATTGCCAATCGTCTATTGGTAGTCAGTTGCCTTTATATGCCTACTGAATTACATGCATCGGAGATATGCCAGTTTATCGGTATATAGTAAATTGCTTGATCTCACATCAAGTCTGAAACTGCGATAGTTATAACCATTTCTGATGGTTTTGAAAACTAGGTTAATATTCACCGGATTCAATTTGTTTCAGAACAAAATTATAGAAATCAGTCGTACTTCTTCCCAGCTTTGTGAATAGGCGCAATAAAGGTTACTTTCCATTCCTGTACGAATTTTTCTGATACCTTAACTAAGTTATTTTTATGTGCCGTAAGATTATTAAGTTTACAGAGATAAAACTACATTTTACCAAAAACGAAATTAGATTTTGTGCCTTCTTCTGCATCTTCAGTCATATTTATTTAATCCCATTTTCAATAACAAATAAACATAATCTTGAATTTTTTATGTCTAACACTTTTTACATTAATAACAAATCAAATCAGCTTTAGCATCCGCCATATATATGTACTAACATATGTACATATGTATCTATTTATTTATATATGTATGTGCTATCTATCTATTTATTTAGTTGTGCCTTGGTACATCTCGATACTCTTTGGCGGGCCATTAAATTTTAATATCTTAAACTATTATTTTTATGTTTCAAATGCAGATCAACATTTTCCAAGCCGCGTTTTCTAACCAGCTAATAATTAAAATATTTAATTTTATTTGACGGCACATAATTGCTGGCTACTTAATAGCGTGCCATAAAAGTTGGCTTTAAATATGCGGAAGCTTTACACTACTGGCGTATGTATGTATTTAAAGCTGTTATTGTTTTATCTGCACAAGCGCGACTTATATTTTTTTGTGGTTTAATATATATATTTATTTTAATATTTATATCCATTCTCTGTAAATAGTAGTCGGCGAATACTTTATTGATCTTCTCACAAAGGGATTGCAATGATTCTTTGAAAACCTTTGCACACAAATTGATTAACATGTGAATGTCTACTAAATTTTGATATGAAAATTTTAAAAAATATATTTTTTTATTTACTTTTCTATCCTTAACCCCGCAGGTTTTTAAATCACCTCAGTAAGGCTTTTAAGCCAAAAACAAAAGTTGTATACAAAACTCAAAGCAATTTTTAAATTCTTGTGGCAAATGAGGGCCAAATATTCTTTTCGGGATTTCAACCTTAAATTATTTACTGAAGAGATTTGTTTTGAATATTGTTTTTGAATTATTCATAACTGTACATATCGAGGTTTAACCGCCAAAATAAAGTAAGCGAAATTTTTTTCAAAATTTTCTTTTTGATGCATAAATATTCCTAGAGCATCTAGATATATTTCTGCATAAAAAAAAATTAAAATAATTTGGTGTACGTTATTTTGGCGGTTAGGGCTCCACATATCTGAAATTTTCTTACACAGCTTGAAAGCTGTTAAACTTATGACAAAGCTTTATTATGTGCTTTACACATCCATGTGGAAGCTTTAAACTCAAAGTTTTTGGTTTATATAATTCGAAAGTTTCTATTGTAAAAAAAACTCCATTTTAGTGTCATCTTTTACTTTCTTAACCTACAACGCTTTGCACATAAAAAAAAACTATAAATTTTCAAAGAATCACCGGTCAGTTACCAGGAGAGTACCTTAAAAGTGCGCAGCAAAAACCAGCATAACACTTCAATTTCCACTTATCATGCACGCAATCACATTTCTACTTTAAAAATGTCTTTCCACAACCTTTTGCATACAAATAATTTATGAAAATCAACGCAAAATACAACTAATTAATTCCACCCTCGCCTTCAACCCACAAAATTGCACGTGTCGGCATTAATACCAGCTTCGAAGCTTAACACACCTACACAATTGAATCACAAAAGCATAATTTCAAATTCAATTGTAGCAATTTGTAGTTTATAATAAACAGGCGCGCTTAAGCGAGTACAACAAATAACAAAACGAAGCTACAACAACAACAAAAAAATGCGGACTTCAGGCATTCATTATACCTGCCACGGCGAACCAGCAATTGCCGGCATTTGCATAAAAACGCCATTAAGTTGGATAAACTAA